ATCTCTATTTTTTTTTTCCTTTTATCAAGATCATCGAAATTGACAAAGCTGCGGCATTTTATATACTTCTGTGAAGTGTTCAATGAATGAATTGGATTAAGAATGTTTATGTACAGAATGTAAGAATGAATCAGAACAAAATCTGCATGCTTGCACAGTATGAATGTTATAAAGAATAAAGCAGGAGGAAAAAAAAATGGCCAACATGACACAACTCGGTTTCATGAGTAAAGGACCAGAAACTAACAAAACTTTTTAAAGTGAGAATCAAATCCAGAGAAAAACCCTCAACCCAAAAAGAAATTAAATAAAAAAAAGGCTAAAGAATAAAACCCCCAAATTTCAAGAGTAATCACCAAGAAAGGAATTCAACCCAAACCACATTTATCATATTATAAAGCAACAGTAAGGTTGTTATACCATACTTTGTCAAACACATAAGCATACTTTTAAGTTAAAATGTTATACTCTAAAAAACAAACACACATAATACGATACTTCAATAATGCTATTTTTTTGTTAAAAATGTATGATACTTCAATAATACTATTTTTTTTTTGTTAAAAATGTATGACGGGTCGACCCGCCCGCCTTACGGTTAGACCGCCACAAACAAGATTTTTTATGAAAAGAATCAAATTGTTAGAAAAATAGCCAGATACACATAATGCTAAAAAATTCACATAAAACAAGAAAAGAAAAATACAGCAGCTCACTCACATCGAGTCAGAGGAGATGAGATCTTGTAAATGTTGCTATTTTCTGAGTCTAATATGAAAATTTCTCCATCTATTGAGATGCCAACAGAATGAGGCTCAATCCCAAGCTTACTCCCATCAAACACTGTCTCAACTGTGTACCCGCTCTCAAATTTCACCATAGAACGACTATGAACAGCTGAAATAGAAAAAAAAAATAATAATAATAACCTCATTTTTCACAATTTCGAAATTAATAAAACAATCAAGCTAATAACAGATAAAAAAAAAAATAAATCTTTTCAGTTCTTTTTACCAGTTTTGCTGGTGGGTTTCAGTGACCACAGCCGCTTGACAATGGTGGAGACAAGCCCACTTAAAATTCCTGCAAATGTAAGAAAAAAGACATAAAAATCAAGAAACCATTTTTAATCAGAAAA